AACACTGCTGCAGCATGTACAGCACAGGAGTGCAGGAGACTGACAATACAGGGTACTGGCTGTGTGCTGTAACACTGCTGCAGTATGTCCAAGTACAGCACCAGGAGTGCAGGAGACGGTGCAGTAACACTTCACTGTTAATAAGTGTTCTGAACTGCAATCGAAAATCATTGACTCTTATGGTAATTCCTCTTGAGTAACTTAGCATTATATTTTTGGCTCTTTTACATAAATTTACTTTTTTTCCCATTGCCTCTTGTTTGACCTCACTGTGCTACTGTATACTTCCCTGTAATGAGCTGTGATTAACAGAGCATTTTTACCACCATTACCAACGACACTATTCACAAAAACCACTAGACTTATAACGATGAGGGTTCGTCTGGGGGCCATGCTGGCCACCCATTCTCCCGTACTTCCAGCACAAACCTCTCCTTCCTGAGAGAACAGCACCCCCAGGGGTGCATGTCTTCTCCAGCAACATCAAATGAGGAATGAAGACCGGTTTGCTGAAAGAGACCAAGCACAGCTGCCTCTGCTCCTGGTACAAGGAGCAACCTGTCTCTCAGTGCTGAGTCTGGATGTGTCTTTGTCTCAGCTCTGTTCTTCACTGCTGCTCGAACTCCTCATTATATTTCAGGTGCATCTTTTATGATTTGTCTTTATCTCATTCCTGCCTTCAAATTGCATTGCATTTCTGTTGAGAAACAATTTCCTGTTATTTCCATTTTATTTTTTATTATTGCCCTGTAGCCACTTAAGGATGTTCTGAGACAAACAGTGTGATGAACCTTGGGAAGTTTTCTCTTGAAACAAAGTTTTCAAGCCTTCTACTCCGGTGCTGGTATATTCTGCACTTTGTCAACATCTAAGGAAACACCAGCCTTTTCCATAAATACATTTCAGTAAGTTGTTATTTTTAATGAATTCAGAAATGTGGATTTCCAGTTCCAGAAAATAACTTTTTCTTCTACTTCCTCCGAAAGGTTTTCATTACTGCTCTCACCACAATGGCCTATTGGGACAGAGCTTTAATTAACACTTGAGGTTAATGAGCTCTCAAGGCAGCTGTACTGAATATCTCATTGCAATCAGGCTTACCTGCATTAAAGGCTCACTTACTGCACAGAACAAGACACAAGTATCGGCAGCAGCCCTGCAGCGGCGAGGGCCCAGGGTTCAATTCTCTATTTGAGTGGAGTTTGTATGTTCTCTCTGTGTTCACATAGGTTTCCTCTAACAGTCCAAAGACATGCTGGTACAGTAATCGGGCACTGAAAACAATGTGCCTTGCAGTGAGTATGTGCATCCTGCCTTCTACCCAGTGGTTCCTGGGGAAGGCACCAGGCCACTGCAACAGTCAATTGGATAAGAGGTTATTCAAAGTGCTGTGAAGATAATATCTAAGTATACAACCTCATAAATACAGGGTCTTAGAAGTACATTCCTAAAAACAGTGTGTATGCCCTGGAATGTAAATTCTCTGATAAAATGGGGGAATCTGACAGTGTTCGGGATACTTGTCTGAACGCTCATCTTTCTTGAACTCTGCAGACATATCAATTACATAAATACTTTGTTTTGTGTAAAATGGTTTGTGCAGTTGCCTGTGCAAGTTTGTGCTAGACTGTGCAATCTCTCTGGGAGTCTGGTCCAGTGGTTTTTATTCACTGCTCAAGTTTGAGCTTTAGACTTACTGGTTCCTCAGCTCTCAGGGGGGACAGGTCATGTGTCAGTACATCTGGGAGGTAATGAGATAATGACCAGGACCCTGTGAGTCTACCATTAGTAACGATATGATTCGTGTCTTGGAAGATTAGTTACAGTCCACCAGAACAAACAAAAGCGGTTCTTTGTGAAGTATTTAATTCTCAACACAGCTCCATCAAGCTGATTGTAAATAACTGTGCCAAGGGTCTCAAATTTGAAGAGCTGTGTCCACCTACTGTACGATGAGTGCAGCTGCGTCCCACTGGCCCTTCTAGGGACCTCAGGCCCCAGAGAGACACAGTGCTGCCTGACCAGCCTGCCCCCCCACCCAACTCCTATCACACATGTCCAGTCAGGATTCACATGGGTGGGTTTCATTCTATTAAAGCTCCTTTTTCTTTGGTTCAGGAAGGAATTGTATGAATTGCAGGTGGGATCAGACTTTTGATTTAGGACACCTTTTAAAAATAATAATCCTGAAGGGTTTTCTCCTGTATCGGAAGGGTGCAGTGTGGAGGAGCACTGTGTGCCTGATATTGGCAATTTGATTCAGCTGTTCCTGGGGGTTACCTGTTCTGCACCATGGCCATGACTGTCCAGTCCTGGGGGTACACGTCCTTCCTCACCAAGTCCTTGAAGATGATGAATGTCTCCATCAAGTAGTCCTGGAACAGAGACACATAACATTTCCATACAGAATTGAGTGAAAACAGACATAAAGCATTTTATGTACCTGATGATGCGATGCCGCTTGGTTTAGAAAAAAAGTAATTCCCACTGTGGGGATGTCTGTTTGAGATGAGTTGGTTTGTGGGATCTCTCGTACACACATTGTCATCAGGTCCTCATTGACAGGACAACGCACCCAGGAAACACAAATCCCCCGAACTCCGTCCCAGAGATTGTGAGTAAACCTGTATTACACTGTTACAAGCCAACAGATTTACAGAGTAGAAAGTCATTCTTCAGATAATCCTTTAAGAACCTCCAGCCTGGTCCTTTAAATTAATCAGGTACTGTAGATCATCTCTTTGGGACACTTTCATGCCTCATGAGTTCAGTGAAGTGATTTAGATTTACTTGGAATAGAAAAACTTAGCCCTTGCAGTCCCTGCAGACCTTGCTGGTTCATTTTTGGTTAGTTCTCAAGCTTTCGAAGTTGATGGTTTAGTCCAGGTGACAGATCCCTGATGGTATAATCCATCTACAGGGCTGGGGTTGGCTGCCTCTGTGCTCTGTGGAGCGTGTGATGCACACTTACAAATATAAGTTTTCTGCTGCAACTTCACTGGCAGTCCTCCAGTTTAGCGTCTCATATCTTCTTGTTACAATGGGTACGCTGTTCCATGGGCAAGTTTGATATTTTATTTATAGTGTGGAAAAATTGATCAGTACTTATTGCTAAAAGATGGAAGTATTCGCAAATGGAAAGCAAAGACTGAAACAGCGGTACCAAGAAAAACAAAGAAAATAAGACAAGGCATATTCCATTGCAGTTCACAGAGAAATCAGGCCTCAAGGTGTAGTGTGCGCAGTCTGAAACCAAGGAAATCAAGAATCAAAACAGAGGTCAGACAGGAAAGAACAGTTTTTTTTTTAAATCAATAAGAAAAAATTACTAATAAAGAAACACATTAAAAAATGCCGTCTTCACCCTGATATCTGAGACTGATTTTTGTAGGATGATGCTTGGTGAGAGTGCAATAGAGAAACTAAAAATTATCCCAGTGCTTCTCAACATGATCTCTTGCCGAATGTCTGGAAAGTCCAAAAATAGCACAGCTGATGTCTTGATTGCAGTCCAGTTTACATGTACTCCAGATGGATGATGCAAATGAAATATCAAAACAAGCTCATTTAAATGCTTGGTTCATACCCTCACAAAGCACCCATATTGGAAGATTTTTGTTCTGCAAACCAATTAAGACACATGCGACAGGATCAATACTGTTGAACATTTAAACAAGTTTATAACAGGTCACAGATTAAAGTTGATAGCTTGTCCCAGGTGCTGACGTTCCCTCAGCGCTGCCCTGGGTCCATGGAGAATCTCAAGTTTTCATGCTGCAATTCCTCTTGGCCAGAGGAACTCAGCAATGACAGAGGTGAAAGTCTGTGGAAACTTCACCACTGCTAATGTAGAAGAACTTTAAGTTTACATTTCAGATGGATTCCAGCTCAAGGGAAAGCTGGCACATTTAGTTGCCACTCCTCTTACTGGTTAAGTTTGTTTGTTTTATATTTTCATTTATGTTTTGTTTTCCTTTGCTTTCCCTAAATCTTTAAAGTTACAGTTTTAGCTGTAATATATTATTGCTTATTTTTTTGCAATTAGACTATCATCACTTTCCTGACTACTGCTGCAGTCCATATACCAAACTATTTGCAATCTTTTGATCTTGGATTTTACCACTTTTTTGTCATTTCATCACAGATTTCACCATAATGCTTGTCAGGTACACCTGATCACAATTACAGCAACTTAGGGGGAAGTATTTCCTCAAAAACTGTGCCTGAGAGCGCTGCCATAATATTGAGATTCTGCGACCTAGAGACATATCCAACGATCCATCGCCTCATTCTCTGCTGACCTCTTCTATCTGTTTTACAATACCTGTTTTTCAGCGGCCGGCCCCTAAATCATCCTGGTGCGGTCCTTAACAATGTACTGTCTTTCATGTCTGCACACCTAACCCCCTGCCTCATTGAGACACTGCTTCTCCTTTTTCTCATTTCTCTCATTTCTCTCAACCCGACACTGTGTGCCTATGTAAATAGGTGTTGTGTATGAAACCCACCACCAGTCTACTAGACCCCATTTCTCCTGTTTTACTTCAATCCTGTTTTCCAGCCCTCCTCCCAACAATCCTGGAGCACTGCAGTGGTCACCAATGGCCTTTGAACCTGCTTTAGTTATGTCTGTGCCTGAAAAAAAACAACATGGCTCTGGACAACCTAAACATTTTTTGCCTATTATCTAACTTGCTTTTTTATTGCAAATAATTTAGAACATGCTGTGACAGTTAAATCATATTATCACCTTATTGCATTTATAACAAAAAATAAAAATCAGTGAGAAATATCAGGTAGACAGTGAAGTGCGACGCGGTATCTGCAGGGCTGAAGCAGCTCCTTGGGTTTCTGTTCTGACCCGGCTGCAGCGACACGAGGGCTGGGAGAGGACGGGCTGGGAACAGACTCACCATGAGGTCCTGGCGCGTGGGGAAGGACTGGATGTAGTCTCTGTAATGAGTGTCATCCACCTGGCTGAGGATGGCCGTCATGCAGGCCACATAGTGACTCTGAAAAACACACAAGGGCACCTCAGCAGCTGGCAGCTGGATTCACGAAAGCAGCTGTGAATTTTTAGAAATATAAATCTAGCATAAAGGACAATGGGAAAGAGAAACAAAAACATGCCTATTTTGTTCTATTTTTATCAAATACATTTTTTAGCAATTGAAGTTACCCAAACATCACACTGTTCGCAACAGACAAATAAAGTGGAACAATACAAATGCATAAACAGAGGAATACTGTACATTAAACTGAATTCAAAGCTAGAGTATAAAAGTGAGTTATAAGATACAATTTTGAAGGTGCTGACTGACTTGCAAGATCCCCAGCCCTGAAGCAACAGAGCAGAAAACAGTCTCTCAGGGTCAGGAGTTAGGAGTTTAGTGATGGAGACAGGAATCATACCATTTAAGACCTTGAAAGTGAAACACAGTATTGTGAATTTTATTCTGTAATTCATATTGAGCAAGTACAAGGACATTAAAACAGGTGATCCAGGTACCTCTGCCTCTGAAATTTAGTTTTAGATAAAATCCAAACAGCTTAGTTCTCAACATGGTGCAACTTGTTACGAGTATGTTTGGATACAACACAAAACCCTGTATTAAAATAATCAAGCCTGGAAAAGACTGAAGCAGGTTTATCATTTCTATATCAAACTAGGGAAGACATGGACAGATAGCAACATTGTTCTAAAAAAGACACCTTCTTCTTTGATTCATTTAGATGTTTAGATTTCAATGATTTCTTCAGCAAACTGTTGGTTAATTGAACTGGGAGCTAGAGACTGACTTGGCAAGTCCAGGAGTTTTATTCTCAAGATCTCTCATTCTCAGTCCCTGGCTCTTGTATGTTTTAAGCCTTTGTTATACTTTATGGAGAAGCAATGCCAATAAGTATACTAACATGTCTTCAATATAAGCAGACAACATCTTTCTGTAAACTTCAGAATTCATTCTGCTGGTACAATTCATTAGGTACAATTTATCATCAATATAGTCAATACAATTGCAGTTCCTCTCTTCTCCACATTTAAACTTTTCCATTACTTCAGTAAAGGTTTATCATGGTATTATCCATCCATAAAACTCAAGGACAAAATTGCAGACTGGAAAAACACTTTTTCAGAAATGAAATCTAACATCAAGAAGTCCAAAATGTTCCCCACAATATGGAGTAAGTGTTAGGAAAGGCTCAGAAAGAACAAGAGAGGCTCCAGATCTTAAGGGATTGTCATATACACCTGGGCTAAAGGAGATAAGTCTCTTTAGTCTAGAACACAAGAAAGGCTGAGAGGAGATTTGATCTTAGTACGGTATATAGATCAGGATTATAGAAAAAGTCAACACAGGGGGCTATTTTAGGCTCATTAGTGAAGGACATTGTCTAACAATCAGAAATTAACCACTTACCACTAGATTCTTCAATAGCTTCTATCCACAAGCAGTGAGACTGGCGAACACATTTAGCCATTCCCCTCGGACCACACCTACACCATCACCATCTACCTCATTATGATAATTTATTTATTGTACATCTCCAGTCATTGTTTACACGTCTGTATTGTTTACATTCAAACTGTCTGCATGTTTACTTGCACATTGTCTATTGTTTGTTTGTACATTGTCTTGATGCACTGTTTGCACCTTGTTTTGTTTTTTACACTTGTTTTACAATCGAGAGACTTTCTGTAAGTAAGAATTCCATTGTACCAGTACCGGTTACATATGGCAATAAAGTTCAAGTTCAAGTTCAAGTTAAAAGAGAAATCAAAGCGAGAATAGAAACCACTTCTGTACACTAAGAAGCTTAGCTTATGCCCAAATCGAGAACTCCTTCAAGAAGTAGCTGGATGAAATATTAGCTTCACATAGATATTAAACGATGAAAATAAAAACCAGTCATTAAGTCTAAACTGAGGAAGATCATCAGAATGTTCCCTTCCCATTTTCAACCTTTCATCTGTTCTGATATTGATTGTTGTTTATTCATCCTGAATGTTTATACAATATATATATATACAGTATCAATATTTCTTTGTAAGACAGTGCTGCCATTAGTTTTTAGTAATTCCATAGTTTCAAGATTTTATATCATTCTGATCTTTTCAATTTCTCTACAATATAAAATGCAGCTGTAGGCAGTAAGAGCTAGATTGTATTGATCATGGCATTTGGAAACTTTAGCAGCTGTGCTTTCAATGAGTGTATTGATTTCAGTACCTCTATACAGCTCTGCAGCTCTCACCTAGGAAAATATGTTATTACTATTTAATTATTAAAATACGCAACTGATTAACAGATGGATAAAAATGTCATATACTGTATCATTGATACTAATACACAGTATATATTTCATGATTACTAAAATATAAGAGGTTAAATTGAGGTTAAAACATAAGTCCTTAATGTTTTTAGATTAAGTATTGCATAATTTAAGTATTCAAGCCCTTTGCTATGCACTCCTAAATCAGTTTCAAAGAACCACTTGAATGGTCAGAAATGACTGGAAAGGTCTCTGGATGTGATTAGTAATTTAACTGCATAGTAAATGCATCTGTCTCTGTAAATTGCCTCAGATATTGGATTTCAATCACAACCCATGAAGGCCACGGAGCTTTCAAAACGTATTGGAGGATTCATCATTAAGAACTGGAATGTGCATCAAACCACACCGACACGGCCAAGATCAGGCCGCCCTGGAAGTAGGTTGCTACTGTGAGGCCAGCGGTGACTTTGAAACAAGTCAAACCTTTAGTTGTAGGTTGCAATGGAAGTCACTATTTATACAGTACACCAACAATATCCTGGTCTCGACAGAAAGCTGGCCTGTATGGGTGAGTGGTAAGAAAGCGACTCAACTAAAATCATGTGACGGAAGGTTTTAAGTTCAGATCAGACAAATACCGAACTTAATCTAAATGTTAAAAGTTCTCTCTGTCAGCACTATCCCTATTGTCAAACACAGTGCATCTTTTTATTGTGATATTCCTCATCAGCAGGGACTGGATACAGAGTCAAGACTGAGGGAAAAATGATGGAGCAAAGTACAGGTGAATCATCAAGGAAAACCTGCTGGAGTCACTCAAGAATCAAAATCCAGGTCGAAGATTCACACTTGAGCACTGCGATTACCTGAAGCCCAAGGTGAAAGCAACACTGAAGGTGTTTGAGAAGAGCCTGAATGTCCTTGAGCAGACATGTCGAGGTCTGGACTTGAATCCCATAGATATAAGACGGGCTTGAGGCTCCATCAACTACTGCCGGTGGAAATGTCTGAACTGGTGCAGTTCTTCCAGCAAGAACAGATAAACCTCCACCTCACTGAACAAAGCTGATAGAGAGCTTATCACAAGTACTGACAGCAGTGCCTGCCGACAGAGGTGCTGCTGCCCCATACAGACTTGGGTGGCAATATACATGTGCAATCACTAAACTCAACATTTCTTCGTTGCACGTTTTGTTCACATTCAGCCTCTTTCATATACAGTACAAGTGTTCATTACATCTTTGAATGAAAAAGGTTTATATGAGGAAAATATACATATGTTATCTGTAATTAATGAAAATGTGATATTATTGGCAGGTGAAGAATTGTTTTGCGTGCACTATAATAATAAAAAACACACCAAATTAGTCAATCCTGAATTTTTATTTGGTTTTAAAAAAACAACAGAAGGTGGTGTCTGAGTGCCTGCACTGTACAGGAGAAGCCACAGTTCTCTTCAGTGAGTTATCCACAGGCAGAGAGGTCACTGTCCAGTCACAAAGACTATTGTAACAACTGACCAAACTCATGGCAATTACAGCAGTCTGTAACTCTTCAGAAGGTGATCAATTGGCTTGCTGCATAAGTAACTGATGAAATATAACGTGATAATGGGGTTTGCAAACTGCAAGGAAACTAATCAGCCAGGATGCAGAGATCACTTACAAAATTGAAATAGAGTTTAGGAGCCACTTCAGTGAGTGCTGGCTTGGAGTCCATGAGAAGCAATTTGTAGCTTAATTTACTGGGACTGAAACAGAATTACAGTAGGAGATGGAAACTGATGAGAGCAGAGAGGACACCGACACAGGAGGGGAAAGGCAAATCTTAGCGAGGCAGCAGGGGACAATGGATGAACAAGTTCGGACTAGAACAGCAGAGTGATGTGTGACCAGCCATCAGTGAAGAGCACACAGAGATGCATGTGTGTCTGAACATCAGCAGAGGTTTAACACCTGCACCGTAGCCTCGCCTGTCAGGTCAGGCACCCACAGCAAGACCAGGGTACAGTGTTACTCCAGGTCAGCTTGTCTCCCTGAGCACTAGAGCACCGCGTGCACCAACAGGAGAGCAGGAGAGCAGGAGAGCAGGCCCAGCCTGTGCTTCATACTGTTGATTCAGTTGTCAGGTTACTAGGCCTTGGTTTTGCCAGTAGGACTCATTAATCACAAATGCGCTCCTTTTAAGGACATGAGAAAAGTTTATAAAAGGAAGAAGCTATTCGATCCAACTAGCTCGTTTGGTAATTACTAATTTGTTGATCTGAAGATCTCACCCTTGAAAAAGGATTGTCAGAGTAGGAAATTCCCTCAAGCCCCAGAATGCAAAGGCACTGAACATTCTTTAAGCCAAGACTAGCACACAGCTGGGCTGGCTGCTGCCCACACTATACCAGCTGGGTTGTGTCAACCGTGAGAGGATCAGCTTCCCTCTAGGTTTCACAGCCCACAGGCAGATGCATCAGTGACAGGCTCAACCCAAACAAGGAGGCTCCTGAGGCCTGAGCACATTAAAATAAGGATGGCACTAAGACGTATGGTTCAGTGCCACAAGGCGTTATTCAGCAAAGTCTTCCCAAGCACACACGGAGCAAAGCAAACTCTTCAACTATGTGACACCAACGACCACCGTGAGGCTCTTTACTGTATGTACTGTACCAAATGCACACACTGTATTTACACCAAAGCGCAAATGTGGCAATTATCACTTCATCATTTCACCAATAATTAAATAATTT